AATCCAAAGGAGGTAATGTCAATACTAAAATAGATAAAGTCTTGATTTCTTCAAAAATATCTGTTTTCTTAGTTTTTAATAAATTGAATTTAGTAAAAGTTCCATTAACCACTTCCTGAGTTTTGACTACACCAAGATTAGATGCTTCAAAAAGAAAATGTTGATACTTTTGTAAACCATTTAGTTTCTTAAAATAAATTTCCAAAATAGCTTTAATATCCAAGTATTGAAAACCTTTTCCACCTTCATAACATTGAGCTTTATTTAATCCTGCTGGACTAGACTTTTTTACCACCTTAACCACATGATCCAGACAGTCTACTCTTGTTCTTTTATAGAGTTTTTTAATCATCTTAAAATTGCTATCATATTTGAATTTGGTATGTCCTGAAACCATGAAATTTAATTCAATGTTTTCATAATAACCACAAATTACCAAATATAAATAAAATCAAACTGTTACATTGTTTTTATTTTATCCTCCAGCATTATCACAAGTAATCTTTAAATGCTTTTTACCTCTATTAATTTTCTTAATTCCATCAAAAATTATATTAAGAGTGCTATTGAAATCTTTTTCTATAATTTCATTTTCATTAAGAACATAATTAATTTGCTCCCTTACTGCTTCATCTTGAATACCAAATAAATGGGCTTTATATAGACTAAAGTAATAAATTTTACTTACTTATTGATCTAAATGTGGCATATGAATATTTTGAACTCAATCATAACTATAATAAGCAGTAGCATCAATGCTGCAATATGATGTTTTACCTTTGAAATAACATTGATCAACTAGTTTTCTTTGTTCCTCTGCAAATTTGATGTTTTTATTGTAATAATTTCTTTCTACTTTGGCTTTAGACAGATGTTCTTTAAATCTTTTGAGCAAATCTTTGGCTTCTTCCTCCTGACAAGCATTATAATATAAACCATCTCTAAAATGCTGGCAAGTATCACACAAGTCAGTCCTGGAACTTATAATTTGAATCTCTGGTGCCAATTGATATCATAATTTTCTGAATGCATCATACTTCAATGATTTCAAATTACTATCTTCTTCTAGACCAGTCAGAAAATCTCTGTGAACTGATTTATAACTCATTTTAGCTGGTAAGAATACAATTGTTTGGGTTATTCTATTGATACTTCTTCCTAGACTTGGTAATCCATAAACTTCAGCATAATTTTCCAGAAAATTCTTTACTATTTCTGCAACATCTTTGTCAATTACCATTTTAGTCTTTCATTGAGGTATCTTCTTTATATTGCCATGAACTCTTGCTAGAAGACCATTGTTTATCAGATGATCTCTGATATTTTCAAAATAAGTTCTGCCAATTCCTAACATATTGAGATAAGTTTCTTAACAAAGGAGTGTATTGTAATCCCAATGATAGAAAGTTTTTTTATTAGATCTAGTTTTCTTTTTAAGGCATCTGCTAGTGCTTGTTAATCTACCATCCATTGTCTTAAGTTGAGCCATTAAAAATATATCTTACTCTGTTTTAGAAAGAGCTTGAAAAGATTCTCTTAATTCTGCAAATTGTTCTTTGGGAATTCTTGAAGAACAACCACAATTACAACCTTTTTCTAAAAAGCTAATTGCCTTTTCATATTTATTAGAACTATTATACTTATTACTTTTCATATACACTTATCCCTATATATATAATTTTATGTTCACTTTGTAGGTTTTTGCAATATATTTCCATTCAACTTTTTAATTAACATTTTTCATAATAATTCAGAATAGGATAAGAGAAAATATAGAGAAAACATATTCATGGGACACAAGATGTTCAAGATATCTTCTCTAATAAATTAATAATATTTTAAATTAGTTAGTTAGACATGATTTTACAAAAGATTTTCATTTCATTTTTTTTAGATCCGAGAAGAATGATCTAACATTTTTTTATGTTATTCAAGGTTGATTGTTGATTCTTACTTCTATAAATTGTCAAATGGATTAATGTATGCAGATAATATAGCATATAATTTTATTTTAAAATCTAGAGAAAGAAAGGAAAATGATACCAATGAAAAAATTCCAAAGTGTTGCTCAAAGCCTTCCCATATCATAAATTCTTATAAAAATTATCAGTAGCAACCATCTGATTATAATGCTTTTCACATAATGAATAATCTTCTAAAAAACCATTTAATGAAAATAGTTCAGAAAAATACTTAGCTAATTTATTTACAATTGGCTCTCTGGATATTTATCAACTATATCTTTAAATAAGCATGGTAAACTTTTAGCTGGTCTTCTTGTATTAGACATTCTAGTAAGATGGAATTGAAATATTCAAGTAATTTAAGTAATTTTAAAAAAAAAAAATAATAATAATAAATAGAAAATTCAAGCCAAAATATGCCTCTTATTGAAAAAAAAAACTAGTGTGTAAACCTTTGTAGATGAAGGTGGATTATTGAAATATATATTCAAGAAAGTCAAATTATATTGAGATATTTATTATAATTATATTATATTATCACCCTTAGGTTTACAAAAAATGTCACGATTTCCTTATAAAAAGCTAGTTAAAATTATATAGATCATTCTAGAATAAAATTTTTTTTATGATAATATCCCTGACTGTAATAACGGCATTACTATTACAGATCATAATAATAATATTAATATTAATATTACGAAAATTGAAAAACAATTACGGTAAATATTTCTATATATAAACATATACAAGCAATATTTTTGCTATCATTTCCAAACTAGTAATTATTAGAACACGGAAATATTCAATTTATTAAATGTTACATGATCACTAATAAAATAATTAACTCACGAAAAATATCAAATAAATATTCTAACATTCTAAAATGTAACAGACCTTTAATTCTTAAGTTCTATTTAATATAAAAGACTTGTTCATACTAGAAATAACTTGAATATAATTCTACATGGAAAGTACAAATTATAAATAAGGATATATTTAATTAGAATAGATTAGGAATTCTATAAATCAGAGAATTAGACGATTGAACCTTTAACATATACAAATAGTCTTGTAATTTTCTCAACCTTATATATTATCTTTAACTTCATGTATAAGATTCATTATCCTATTATCTTTATCTCTATCTTTATCTTTATCTTAATATATTATCTTATAATCTTATAACATAAATAACTCTTGAAATAAAACATAATTTAACCATAAATATTGTAACTAAAGTCTTCACGGTATTAAGTGTGATTCTTTGACTAACCTAACTTAATTAATTAACATCAGGAACTTAAATTATAAAATTGCATCATGATGTAAAACAAGTACCATTGTATAATCTTATTTTAAGATGCGCAGCCTACCTAACACTGCACAATGCATTGTTACATTGTGATGTACATCTTGATTTTTTATAACATTTTGCATCGAATTTTATTGTATTAAAAGTCAATAAAAAATATATATGTAAATTCAATTTGAAAAAATTACATTTTTTTATTAATTATATAAATGAACAGAAGAGACTGTCCTGGCAGCACAAAATTTTAACCCATGCAATTATTGATTGACCAATCAAAATCATGAATTTGATAATGTAAAAATAAATGTTGATTTGATTCATTTTGTAATAATCACTTCACCAACAATTATTTCATTAATAAATAACAAATAGTTCGAATTTAAAAAGCTGGAAGCAACCATATGACAAACCTTTGAAATAGTCTAATAAATTAAATTGTATACTCGAAAATGTATTTGAAGGGTTGGTTTTTAACTTGGTTAAAGAATAACTCTCTTCTCAACTCTTCTCTTGACCATATCTCTCGATATAATAAAAATAACCTTAATATAATAAATGTTTACAAAATGATTGTAAATACAACCATTATTTAAGATATACATACGATTAAGACAAAACATGAATGATGTATAAAAAAATCAAATTTATTTAATAAAAACAAAATTTACCAAAAAAAAGTTTTTTTTTGCATATTCTAATAAAATTTCCATTGTTGCTGCACCATCTATTGCTGATGTGACATTATCTGGATCATTAGCAACTGTATTTTCAATATTTTTGATATTTTCAATAAACTCATTTTTGTTTAATCTTTTCATCATACTTTCTTTTAGTGCGTTAAGATTTTTTTGATTTCGACTTGAAGATATCAAAATTTAGATAGGCATCTTTCTAGACAATGATTGTGATAACCATGTTCACACACAAGTACACTACAATTATTCAAATTAGTATAGTTAGTGTAATCACAATATATGTAATTGCAAAAAATGTTTGTAGATAGTTTCTTATAAGTAACAAAGCCTTTGAAAGGTGACAATCAGTTATTTTGTAAACTAAAGAAGGTAATTTGTATGAGTTAATACCATTAGATGAAGTTTTAGTAACCATAGGATACTAATTTCGTGCTTGATATATCTTTGTAAATACATCTAAAAGTAATACAGCACTTTCAGGAAAGCATTCGGTGTATATGGATATTTCATAAAATCTATGAAATGTTGTCGAAAAGTATTATCCTTTCAATGCAGAAAAATAAAACGTGCCTCCTTTTTTAGTTATTGCACAGTGAAAAACTTAGCCGTACGTCATCAAATAATGCTGTGAATGATTTCTACAGAATCATCACTTAAAGAGGCGAAATAATTAGTAACCATATTAATCATTCATTAGATGATTTGTCTTCATCCAATAAAAGACATCAGAAAAAAATTAAAGATGTACACTTATGATTTCTTTGATCAAACCGAAGAAAAAGATCACTCCAGTAACGCATATAAGATTTCTCATAAGCCAGCTAGTTAAGTAAAAAATTATAGATTTTCTTTATCTTTTCGTTATAAATCTCTTGATTATTTCCTGATAAATAAAGATTAAAAAAGTTTACATATAAATTAAAATATTAAAAAAATTACCTAAAAATTTTTTTAAATTATCATTTACTTCATATAAAGTAATATCTAGATGTTTTTTTTATTTATCTTTAATATATAATTTACTGTATAATGAAACAAAATCAAGAAAATCGTGAAAATCGCAGAAATCGTAGGAGTCGTAAAGGTCATAGAATTCATAGAAGTCGCGAAATTCATGAAGTTATAGCAGTTGGTAGAAATTGTGGTAAAAGTCATGAAAATAATGAAGATACTGATTCTGTTCAAGGTGACCACGCTTTATTTTTCTCAGAAATAATTTTATAAGATCAATGTGAATAAGAATGTAAAAAAATCAAGGAGAATTTTAGCTTGAAATGAATAAAAAAAAAGGTTTAAAAAAAAAGTTTAAAATTTTTAAAAAGAATTTAATATACAGTATATTAAACTTTAAACTTCCTACTATAATTTGCGTTGTAAAACTAATTTTGTTTAACAACGTGATGTTAATCGATATTTAAAATTGTATAACTCAATTTAAAAGTAGTACAATAGAATATAGCTGATAAACGCAAATCAATGTGATGAAAACTTAATTTTTAAGTTCCTGATGAATTTAATTAATTACTATCTTACCAGAGGGACGCCTTTGCTAAGTATAGTTGTATATATTTATATATTATTTTATTGATTTAACGAATAAATCAGTAGGACTGGGTAAAACTATTTGGAATGGTTAAAAGTATAGAATAGGCCAAACGGGACTGGCTAAACTATTCTAAATAATTCCTGAAGGTATAAATATAATCTAATTATTAAAAGATTGCAATCGGAAATTGAAACGTACCTGACTTGGTAAAACAAAAATTAACAGCTAGGGAGGGCACCCACTAAAAAACATTATCAGGAAGACACAGAGTGTCAAAATTATCTTAACGAACTTGGATTTAGAACGTGCTTGACTTAGACAGGTAGAAAATAACTACTGTTGAGAAACTCGTTATCAGGAGGCAATAAGTACCGTGGTTAATAAACTAAATATAGAGAAAAGTAAATTGATATAGAAATTGAAGTATTTCATACACTGCCCTACAATAAATTACCAGATTTTATAAATTTTACTTAATAATATATAGTAAAATTGAAGATTTTTAAA